ACATGGATTCCACCGGAGGTAACGACACATCGGCTAAGCCCGGACCCTAGATTCAAATCGGTGAAGCAAAAGAGAAGACCCCAGTCCGAAGTAAAGCACACATTCATAAAGGACGAGGTAACTAAACTTCTCAAAATAGGATCCATTCGGGAGGTAAAATATCCCGAATGGTTAGCCAATATAGTTGTAGTCCCTAAAAAAGGGGACAAACTTAGAATGTATGTAGATTATAAGGATTTAAACAAGGCGTGCCCCAAAGATTCTTTTCCACTACCTAACATCGATTGCATGATCGATGCCACGTCCGGCCACGAGATCCTTACTTTTGTCGATGCCTATTCCGGGTACAATCAAATCCAAATGAACCCGGAAGACCAAGAAAAGACTTCATTTATCACCAAGTATGGAACATATTGTTATAATGTAATGCCCTTCGGGCTAAAAAATACAAGAGCTACTTACCAATGCCTAGTGAATAAAATATTAGAAGAACAAATAGGTAAATCAATGGAGGTTTATATTGATGGCATGCTAGTTAAGTCCCTACGCGCAGAGGACCATTTGTCTCATTTGCAGGAAACGTTCGAGATTTTAAGGAAATACAACATGAAGCTCAACCTCGAAAAATGTGTTTTCGGGTTTGGTTCGGGCAAGTTCCTTGGCTTCATGATAAATCGGGGGATCGAGATCAACCCCGATAAAATCAAGGCCATCGAAGACATCGTCGTCGTGGATAGTGTAAAATTCGTACAGAGGCTAACTGGACAAATAACTTCCTTAGGCCGATTCATTTCGAAGTCATCGGATCGAAGCCACATATTTTTCTCTTTACTAAAAAAGAAGAGCGATTTCGCCTGGACCCCGAAATGCCAATAGGCATTGGAAGAGTTGAAGCGATACCTATCGAGCCCACCACTGCTTCACACTCCAAAGGCAGATGAGAAACTTTACTTGTACTTGGCAGTATCAGAAATTGCGGTAAGTGGTGTCCTAGTTCGGGAAGAGCAAGGTGCGCAATTTCCTGTTTATTATGTAAGTCGAACCTTAGGAGAAGCAGAAACTAGATATACACAGTTAGAAAAATTGGCACTTGCGCTGATAAGCGCCTCTAGAAAGTTAAGAGAACACTTTCAATGTCACCCCGTATGTGTATTAATCACTTACCCACTTCGTAATATTTTGCACAAACCCGAACTGTCGGGCCGATTGGCCAAATGGGCCATCGAACTCAGTGGGTACGACATCGAATATCAACCTCGGACGGCCATCAAGTCTCAAATTTTAGCGGACTTCGTGGCCGATTTCACGTCAACCCTCACACCCGAAGTTGAAAAGGAACTCTTGTTAAAATCGGGTACGTCGTCGAGGGTATGGACCCTTTTCACAAACGGTGCTTCAAATGTGAAGGGGTCCAGGCTAGGCATCGTTTTGAAGCCGCCCACGGGTAGCACTATTAGGCAATCTATCAAAACTTCTAGGTTGACTAACAATGAGGCCGAGTACGAGGCCATGATTGCAGGTCTCGAGCTAGCTAAAAGCCCGGGGGCAGAAGTCATTGAAGCCAAGTATGATTCTTTACTGCTTGTGAACCAAGTAAATAAAATCTTCGAAGTTCGAGAGGATAAAATGCAAAAGTATTTGGAGCTACAGGTAACTTTGCACCATTCCAAGGAATGGACTCTACAGCATGTACCTCGAGAATAAAATAGTGAGGCTGATGCATTTGCAAGCTTGGGGTCGTCGGTCGAGGAAGATGAGATCAGCTCGGGGACTGTCATTCAACTCTCGAGATCCGTGGTTGAGGAAGGCCATGCCGAGGTAAACTCTACAAGCTTAACCTGTGATTAGAGGAATAAATATATTGAATACTTGAAAAATGGAAAGTTCCCATCGGGCCCTAGAGAGTCGAGGACCTTACGAGCCAAAGTTGCTCGATTCACATTTGCTGAAGATGGAACATTATACAAAGGAACATTCCATGGACCATTGGCAGTGTGCTTAGGGCCAAGAGGCACCGATTATGTTTTACGAGAGGTCCATGAAGGCACTTGTGGGAACCACTCCGGCGCCGAATCATTGATTCACAAAATCATTAGAGCATGATACTATTGGGATAGCATGGAAAAAAATACTAAGGAGTTTGTTCGAAATTGTGACAATTGCCAAAGGTTTGCACCGATGATCCATCAGCCCGGAGAACAACGTCATTCAGTCGTATCTTCATGGCCATTCATGAAATGGGGGATGGATATCTTCGTCCCCCTTCCATCGGTGCCAGGTAAAGCTAAGTTCATTTTATTTATGACTGACTGTTTCTCTAAATGGGTTGAAGCACATGCGTTCGAGAAAGTGAGAGAAAAAGAGGTTATAGACTTCATCTGCGATCACATCGTGTGTCGATTTGGGATACCCGCAGAAATAGTATGCGACAATGGTAAGCAATTTATCGGCAGTAAAGTAACGAAATTTTTCGAAGACCATAAAATAAAAAAGATATTGTCAACACCGTATCACCCTAGTGGGAACGGACATGCCGAATCGACGAACAAGACTATCATCCAAAACCTGAAGAAACGGTTGAACGAAGCTAAAGGGAAATGGAGAGAAATTCTGCCCGAAGTCCTTTGGGCATATCGAACAACATCGAAGTCCAGTACTAGGGCAACTCCATTTTCCTTAGTGTATGGCTCCAAAGCCTTAATTCCAGTCGAAGTCCGATAACCCAGCGCATGATTTCGACATGCATCGGAGGAATCGAACTGCGAGGCTATGAATACTAGCCTCGAATTATTAGATGAAAAATGAGAAGCGACACTTGTTCGAATGGCTGCACAAAAGCAACGAATCGAAAGGTACTACAATAGAAGAACCAGCCTTCGCCACTTCAAGGTCGGGAACTTAGTCCTAAGGAAGGTCACCATCAATACTCGGGATCCTAATAAAGGGAAACTCGGCCTGAATTGGGAAGGACCCTATCAATTCCTCGATATAGTCGGAAAATGGTCTTATCAACTCGGAACGATGGACGGCGAACCATTACCAAACAACTGGAATATATCACTTCTCAAACGATATTATTGTTAAGATATGACTTTCTCCCTTCTTTCGTTTATATATATTCGGTGCTAACTCATTGCAGAAGTTCGACCAAAGACATCGAGACCTCAGGTTTTAAAGTACGCGTTGCACTCTATTTCCCTTAGAACAATTTTTATCCCAACTAGGTTTTCCCAGCGAGGTTTTTAACGAGGCAACAATTATGTGCTACCTGAGGACAATTCAATAGTATCCAAGTCTTCTTTGCAATCAACCTCGAATACTGGAGGGCATCACCCTCGGATGTTGTATTTTTGAGAATAGTACTTTAAGTCAAAGGGCCTTGATAGGGAATCTTTGTAATGGACCAAACGATCAAGTGAACCGTGTCCATATAAATTAGTCGAGCCCCGATGGCAAAACATGTGCGCATGTATAAACTATTCAAAGAAGCATTCTCTCTTCATTTAAACATTTTGTGTCTCGAAGAAAATTATCTACTATGCAAACCTCATGCTTATGATATTGCGAGAAACGGCTCAAGAGCCAAAGTGCAAATATACACTCGGGGACTACCATCGATGATATGCATATTCGAGTTATCTAAACACAAATGCATAAGACCTCAAAGAGGCACCCCTAGATCTATAGGCCAAGGCCACCATTCTCGGGGACTGACATTTCAAACAAGTTCGAAATGTTATTGGGAAATAAGCCCAAGAGGCGTATCCGAAGGCTAAGGCCAAACTAAATGCTACGACCTAAATAACGCGGCTCGGAGACGTCCGAATTTCGCAATAACGATAGACCTTCAAATTCTCTAAAAAAATGGTTAAAAAAGGCTACCCTCGGTAAATAATCAAAACGGCTTCGATAAAATTAGCCCTCGAAAAAACTTAAGAGGTATCAAATTATCTTTAACACAAACGTGCTAAGGCATAAAAAGTAAAAGGGTTTCAACCGACATCGGGCCCTCAAAAAACCAAATGGGTAATAATTCGAAAGGGGGAAATAATAGCCGTCTTTTAGAGACCATATGGGTCCAACCTAAAAGAGACTAAGGGCCAATACATTTAGAGTTCGAGACTTTGTTATCACTCAACTAGGACCTAAGGGTTCCACTATTCCGATTTCAAATAAAGTTGATTTGAACTTAGCTCAAGGATCCGCCATAAAACCTTAAGGGGTGTGTTACTGTAAGTTCGAAAATTACCCATTATTTGATAAAAAACCTAAGGGTTTATTCTATTCTAAGTTAGAAACATACTCGAACTCAGTTATAAAAACAGTGCAGTCATGGCATCGATCAAGCCATCCGAAATCTCGAATATATTATTGATCTAGGGGACTCGCCCTTGCGTGTCTAAAAAACCTAAGGGTTTTGTTCTAAGTTCGAACAAGTGTTCATTCGATTATGGAGGCTGCAATAACAAAACTTTCACAAGGCAAAAGCACAAAACATGTTTGAACATAAAATTGAGAAGACATTCAAAAGAAGTTTTTCTATTATATATTGATAGAAAAGGTTATGTACAAGAGACCGATCAAGGTCTTACAAAAAGAGAAACTAAGTCCTAACTACGACTGGTTTTGACCTCTTCTTTGGGAGCAACTTCTCCTTCAGACCCCTCATCGGATCCACCTCGACTGCCTTCTTCATCATCGTCTTCGTCGTCATATGAGGCAAGCTGCCTGGCTTCAGCCTCAAGCACCTTGGCTCGGGCTATCTCCTCGGAGAGGTCAAAACCTCGAGTATGGATTTCTTCGAGGTTTTCCCTCAGGGATTGACACTTTACCGAGTTAATTATCCATTGCTCTCGGTCAGAGGCCTCCCTTAGCTGCTTTTGAGCAGCCTCAGCATCGGCCCGGTACATGGTAATGGACTTGCCCGCCATGACTTTTGTCTTCTTAATCTCCGCCTTGACCTTAGTAAGCCTAGTTTCGAGCTCCCCATTCCTCTTGGCTTAAACTGAACTTTTCTCTTTGACGCCCCAAAGTTGAACCTCAGCCGATGACAATTTGGCCGAGGTAGTTTCTTTTTCCGCAGCCAGGCGGTCCATGTTCTCCTTCCACCAATCACAATCAGCCTTTACTTGATCGACTTCTCCCCGAAGCAGCTCGATCATTTCAACCTTTTGCTGCAACTGAGATAATGAAGTATTAGCCTCCACAATTGGGTCGAGTCCGTACTTTATCAAAAGGATGCTCACCTGCTTATCTAGCTCGGCCTCTTCCTCATGAGCCTTGGCCAAATCCACTTGAAGGTCCTTTATAATTTTGTCTTTTTGGCCACAGAGAAGCTTCAAAGCGTTCCTCTCCTCCGAGACCCTTTGGAGCTCGGTTTCACACTGGCTAAGGTCAGCTCGAAACTTGGCGAAGGCCTATACAAAAAAGGAAAACACATGTCAGATTTAGAGAAAAAGAAAAAGAAGAGTAAAGAAAAGAAGTACAGTAAACTGATTCTTACCCGATATAAGAGACGTTGGGCCTCTTCTAAAAGAATAGAAGCGTCACCGATATCAGAGGCATCATCGACTCCAATAAAGCAATCCCGAAAGGGATCCCCTACACTAGAGCCTCTACCTATATCGGGAGTCTTCAACTCTTGAGCTTCCCTTAGTGCCTCCTTACAAAAGGTCGGGAGAGAAGGCAAATGACCTGCTCTCATGGTCCCGAGCAAGTCACTCGGGACGCTCTGATCGATCTTCTGGGTCTCAGAACCGGACCCGTCCGGTGTAGTTACAGATGACCGAGAAATGGTCTCAACCTCTGGTAATTCGGGATCCTCACCCGAATTCTTTTTGGAAGCCTCCTCGACACGAGGCTTGATTTTAGCAGCAGCCGTCTGCTCAGAAGGTTTGGTGACCTCGACGGCTTTCCTAGGTCGGACCGTCAGTGCCAAGGCATTTTCCTCTTCGTCCTCTTCTTCATCTCTCAGTTTTTGGACCGAGTCCATCGTGAGAGCGATTACTTTCCTCCTCACCCTTCGAGGTTTGGGCTTGGGGTCCTCGGACTGCGAGGCAATTTTCCTCTTCTTGTCTTCTCCCGGCTTCGGAATCGGGGACTTGGTTTCTTCCTCAACACTTGAAGGCCTCAAAATGGCATCCTTGGTCAGGCCTGCATGAAAGAAAATTAGTGATGAATGGAGTATAAAAAGTGTTTCAGAACATGAAAAAGGAGATCTTTACTGTGGTACTTGGCCTCCCATATGCCCTTTGCCAAATCACGCCATGCGCGTTCGGCATATGCAGAAGTTGAGGCTAACTTCCAAACCCAATCTTCGAGGTCAGGTACCGCTTGAGGCATCCGAGGAATGGCCGCATATTGAAAGGGGATATCAGACGAAATCGAAGAAGGTATGAAGAACAAAGTTTAAAAGATCACTTACGGTCGAAGTTCCACTCCTCAAGGAACGACATCTTTTCTTTCGGGATAATGTTGCAGGTCCTCACCCGTATAAAATGGCTCATCCAACCCCAATCCTTATCCTCATCGATGCTCGAGATCAAGGCCTTTGTTGACCCGCGTTGGAGCCTGATTAGTCCTTGGTAGATTCGAGGCCGGTACAACCGCATGAGGTGATTTAGAGTAAACTCTAGCCCCTCGACCTTGCTAGAGAAGAAGCGCATCATGATTACTATGCGCCATAGAGAGGGGTGAATTTGACCGAGGGTGACTTGATATCTTTTACAGAGATCAATAATCACTGGGTCGAGGGGACCCAATGTGAAGGGGTAAGTGTAAACACTTAAGAACCCCTCCACATAAGCGGTGATGCTCTCTTCGGGAGCAGGAGTTTGCACCACGACCTCGGGACCCCAGTTGCAATCCCTCTTCACGGCCTCGAGGTGTCTCTTCGATATTGAGCATATGTACATCGACACATGCTCACATCGGCCCGGGATCGATGAAGGATTTTCGACCTTGAAGTCGGATTTTAGAGTACACGGGCCGAGAACATATTCATGGGGAAGCGGCTCCACCGACGCCTTGCCGCCGGACGGCCGGGAAGAGGAGCAAGAAGATTTCCCCTTCTGCGGTACAGTCTTTGAGGTTTTCTCCATTTGTATAAGTAAAGAAGAGCGAAGAAAGATGAAAAACTGGTGGTTTCGGTGCTAACGACGGTGGCTCTACAGACGGTGAAAAGGAGGAGATGAAAAGAGTGATAATACTTAGAGGTTTGATTAGAGCAAAAGTAAAGTTTGATTCAATGAAGGAGCGGGTATTTATAAGCATTTATGATTTAGGGAACTGAACTGATGGGACGTTTCGATCACATCCGTCACTTACGTCATAAGGACGACGTCATGATCAAGGTTTCGAAAAATCAAGGCTTAAACCCGGGGACTATCTGTATACGGTCGAAATCAGGCATGTTAGATTTCATAGGCACGAGAAGCTGCCTCGAGAGTAAGCTCGTAATAGACCAGGCTCGAGCTCAATGGCAGAGAATGGTGCATGAAGATCGAAGTGCTCGCTAAAGATCGAGACCGAGCATGACTGACTTCGAGTAAGGCGTGATAACAGAATGGCAAGATATTAGCAACCGACCGAAGATCTCGGCGGAGATCCCGGAACAGATCAAATCAAGCGGTTATTGACGTCAATCATGGGAATTGTTTCCGTTATTAGAATTGTACCTTATTTAGGATTCCTCTACTAGATAAAGAGGGACCCTATTCATTTGTAAGGGGCATTGATTCACTGATAAAAATATACAAAAATGCCGCTCTCTATTTTACTTATTATCCATTACTGTTCATCATTGTTCTTTACTGTTCTTCTTACCCAACCTCGAGACCATCTCGAACCGAGGTCGAAAGCGCTGCTAGAACACTGATTTGATTTATTTTACTATTCTGATTATCTATTTCAATTCCTTGTTTGTCAATTGATATTTGATTAAATTACGTATCCTTAAAATCACTAAATAAGTTTAATTGTTACTCGAATTTTAGAGTAAACAACATATATGGCAACAAGATAAATACAACCCCAGCAGAAAGCTATCAATTTGGATCGATAATCACGTTTAAAGAAATCTAAAGCATTAGTTTTCTAACAAAAAGTCAAAAGGGGCTTAGTTTATCTCGTAATATTCTCTTTAAATTGATTCACGGCCTAATTTAGCGCCCTACATCAGCTTCATAACGGTTGAATCCCTTCTTTTCCATATATATTGCACATGTTTTCAAACACTTGTCTTCCATTTCTTTGCTAGAGAATATTTTTAATACAATAGTCATTTATCATTTTTATATACAAAAATATAATGCTAATCAAGTTATACTATCCAAAAAAATACTTACGCTTATTGCTCACTTTACATAACCCATTAGTTCTCATTTATAAAAATAAAATTTATAAATTTGGAAAATAACATGTATAATAATATACATACCGAAGCTTGGAATATAACCTCATAATTGCAATAATATATGTTGTATAAATAATGTATAAATTATAATAAATTATAATAGATAAATTATACACAATGTAAATCATATATAAATTATACCAGATAATATACTAAGTAAAACCCAGGTATATGTTTTTGTTATATTTTATCAAAAATTCTTCAGCTATTGTGTATATTGATTGTGTATCATTGATGTTAATAATAGTAGATAATAGATATATACAAGGAATACATATGAAATTTATGGGTTCAAAATTCTAGTTATTTTAAATTACTGGATTCTATAATAATAATTTATACATATTCCATGAATCGTTCAAGACAAATACAGAGTCTGCACAAAAGCTACCGGGTTCGGCCGAACCCGTAAGCAGAAGGCTAGCTCCGCCCCTGTATACACAATATTATAATAGTATATAATTATGTATATATATATATATATATATATATATATATATATATTATAATGATGATATTTAATAGTGTATAGATTTACAATGATATTCTATTATGTATGAGCATAATAATATTGAAGAACAAAGGTATGATAGGTATCTTCGACAAATACAATAATCCTATTTGAAGAAGATGGCATAAATCAGCGAAATAGAAAATTCTTTGAGATTTTTCGCATTTTTTTTTGTTTATGGAAAGAAAAACTATGCAACGGTATTAGTGAAGATTGTAACGTTTTTCCTTAGATATTGGGTGCTTGCATTTTGGCTATTAAATAGGATGCCCCTTATAGCGGTATTTAAGGGATACCAATTAATGAGTTTTTTTTTAATGCCATATCTGTAATAAAATCTGCTATATTCGGAACAAACAGAAAATACTATTAGTTACGAAAATAATTTTTACAAAGAGATCATATGTGTAAAAAACTCAAATTCGTCTTACCCTTCAATTAACTACGATAAAAATCTGATGTAATCTATTAACTACGGGTAAAAATTTAACAATGTTTGGATGTTTTATATCGTTTGTCGTCGTTTTATGATGTCATGCACCAACAATAAAAAATATAAACTTGTAATATCACAAAGAAAAAGTAAACATGAGGTGGACTTGTTATATAAAAAAGTAGGATAAAACATAAAATATGATTATTTACTAATAAGAAAGAGCAAGATGAGAGAAAAAATAAGATATAAATGATTATTACTTTTAATTTTTATGTAACAAAAATTTAATGATTTAAGTGATAATTAAAATAAAATTATATTTAAAGGTAACCATCCAAACAAGCGGCAGTATTAGAGAGTAGTAAAACGCAACGTTTTAACCCAAAACTAGCTTTTCAGCTCTTGCTCGATCGCTCTGGTTCTGAAGGAAGAGGCCCCATTTTCATCTCTAATGGCTGCCATCTTAGCTCGCAAATCTCTGTCTGCTTTACGTTCTCGTCAGCTTGTAAGTCTCCATTCTCTTCTTTACAAATTCCAATCCATTAATCATCCAATCGATCCCAAATTAGTTGGGATTCACTATCTGAGCTTCGCGTAGTCGATCCACGTGATAAATTGTTAGTCATAGAATATTATTCCTTTCCAATTGAAACCTAGAAAATGACTATCATCACTTAAGAGCGGACCTAATTTTCTCTGAGAATATTTCTACTTACTTGTTCTAACCAACGCTTAGACATTATTATTGGTATTTCAAAATTTCATCAAATATTTCAATGCAAAACACAATCCAATATTTGGACCTTTTTATCAATGCTTAAGAAATGTTTCCCAAAGTATTTTTGCTCATTGGAAAACATTTCCTGAAAAGAACACTCGTAAAATACTAGAGTTGGATAATTCTCCCCCTCCCCCTCGTCGTTTCTTGTATCCTGATCATCACATGACGTTCCTCAAGGTGGCTTGATGTGAACTGCCTTAACTTCCTTATCTTTGGTGCTTTGGTAAATCTGGATAAAGGAAGAGAGTGACGGTAGGTTGGCCTATTACTCAATCCTTACAAGTTGGTTAGATTGTTCTAGTGTGCTTTCAAGAAGATTCTAAGTGTATCAATAATGTACTCTTTTTACAGTTTCTCTTGTGATCAAGACTAACCTAGGTACTAGGTTATTTAGACCACAATTAACACACCAGGATATACCAAATGAAGCTACTTGAAATTGCATGAGGTTTAGCAAAAGCCATGACCAATTCTCTATTTTTTGTTCCTAACAATTCCTCCAATCTCGGAACTCATATTGCGTCACCACTGCCATTGATGTTTAGTTAAATCATATTATTTGATTGCTCTCTCCCATATAATTGGTTTGTTAGTGAGCTTAGGTTCGCATACTTATATTTCACTTTTATTCCAAAACCACCAAATCTTTATCCTTGGCTAGCTCGTATTTAAGAATATTTCAAGTGGAAATTAGCTTCATGAATGATCCTTGAAATAGAGCATTTTAATCTTCCGTATCTAGCAGAGCACATTGCTTTCCACAACTCCCAACAAGTGAAAATTTTGTGACTTGACACAGACTTCTATGAGGATAATTTTGAGTACTAACCTTGTATTGGAGCTAACATCTTCCCTCTTTTGTAATCCTCGCCTTTTAATGATATTTCACTTACTTCATCGATTTTTTTTTTTTAGCATTAACCTTCAACCAATTCTGTAACATTGTACCAAGAGTGTGCTCTTGTCTAGCTATGACAAATGATCCTGCAAGATAGTTCTATACCATTCTTGCAACCCCTCGAAAATAAAGACATGTTCAACATTGTTTCTTCAGGTTGTATGCACAACTACACTTTGAGACAAAAAGATGGCAAAAGTTCAATACTATCTCATTCATTGGAATTTTCGTTTTAATTACTCTCCATGCTAAAAACTATGCTGTGCGGATCCTAGGAGTGTTATACATTCTGCAGCAGAATGT